AGACGTAATAGACAAAAAGACAAAAATAGTGCCTTCTTCAATTTCGAAAGAAATCTACAATTCTACAATTTATTGACACATATTGTTATTTATAAAGGTGTTAAATAACTAGGGATTTACCTTTTGGCGAGATTTAAATAAATATTTGCTTTTTAAACAGAAATTCGTCCAATTATTAAATCAATCGCATATGCAAAGAAAAATCTATAAAAAGAGACCCCATACTTTAAAATGAACACGTTTTTGCCCTGGCTTGAACACCCTTGTTCTTTACGAATTTCGAAGCCAAATACTACCGAGAACAGTATGTAAAAATTTTAAGAATATCGAAGGATAGGTAATTTTTGTGCCCATTTTGAATATTTGATTTAATTTTACAGTGCAGAAAGTCAAAATCCTTAATTCTATGTTGAGATATAAAAAAAATAAGATTTCCGGTTGTTTTAGAATATAAAAATGACAATAATACGTATTTTCATACATGTTTTGACAGTTGATTATTAACACGTTATTTTTAACGTGTTTATAATCAACAGTCTTAATCGTCTGTACTTTGTATTAAACGATTGAAAAAAGTTAACGAAAGAGCGCCATTTTTCAGTTGACGTCGGTCGATGCAAAATAGTCCAATTTTGCGCGTAGGACTACTGAGCGCCACCGAATCACATTTTGGCCAAAATTGCACATCCGGTTGTCCAACTGTAGGTTTGTTTGCTGACATACGTCCCTGATTCGTACATGCATTACATTCACGATTCTGCATACACCAGGTTCCTATGCCGACATACAAACCTGAGAAATACAATATATCAGTGAAACAGAAAGTTCTACAATGTATAAGTAATATGCAAGGTTCTGCATACACCAGATTTATATATAGGCTTTCAAAAAATTTACGATAAAAGGGACGGTGTTTCGTTCTCTGTTATTAATTTTCCTTTATGGGACGTAATGTTCCTTTGCCACAATTTTACGGTGTTTATATATCCCAACTCGTTCGCTATGCCCGTGTTTGGATTTCAATGAGCGTAATCTATATATTAATGGTAAATTATTAAGTTAAGGATTTCGTTACCACAAATTACTTTAAACCTTTACTAAATTCTTCCACAGATACAAAAAATTGGTTGTAAGTCTGGCTGTACCTGAAAAAAAAAAATCATTTCAGACAGAATAGCACATCCTATCTGTTACGGTGATGTTGTTAACCGAGCCCGGAAATTTATATACGATCCGAATAATCTTATCAATACTTTAAATAAACTTATGCTAAAAGGTTACCAATTCAACAAAGTAATTAGGTCTTTGAATATTGTTTTTATTGTTAAAACATTCGATTTTGTTATCAGCAAATTAAAATTATACTAAACAGTATTGCATTTTAAAGGTACTACAATCTGTCGATACCTTTACGTTTAGCATTGCACAAGGTCAGGTTTTTTTCTGACTGTTAATGACGTCTTTATACTAAATCCATTGGATGTTTGATGTGTACTGATTGATATTTTAGTCTTTGATACATGATTTTTTTATTAGTTGTTATTGGCTTTGAACTAGCTGTCAGTAACTGCGAGTTCTCTCAGGTATGTACTAAGTGGTTTTTTTTCTTGTTAGGAATGATGGATGGATAAATAACCTGCCGGGTCCGGCCTGTGTTTTTGTTTGATGTTTTTCTGCTTTGTATCGATCTGATGAGTCAAGCCTTTTTCAACTGCATTTTATAGTTTGTTCCTATGTTGTGCTGTTACAACACTGTCTTAGGTTAGGGGACGATTGAGCGCTCACACATATACGGTATGAGCTTGTCTCATTGTTGAAGGTTGACCTATGATTGCTTACATCCAGTTCATTTGAACTTTGGTGGATAGTTGTCTCATTGGCAATAATACCACATCTCTCTATTTTTATATTAAAACCTGAAAAATGCAAATTATGGGATTAAAATTGAGTTCAATTCATGTTTTCATCATGCCAGATTCACGATATTCAAGTATTCGATAAAAAGAAAAACACATTTTTCAATAGTTTTATCGTATGTGCATACGTTTGTCTTATGGGCAATGATTCAAACAATTTGTGTATGAATGAATACAAATGACCGTGAATGAGAATTTCTAATTTTTAGATGAGAACGTATAAACAGAAGTAGTAAAGTAAACAAAATTATAAATCAACCAATTATGAAATAAACGTTTGAATACGGATCCGATTTTCAAGGTACTTTTAATCATTTCTTCTCTTTGACTATGCCATATTCGCATTGTCCTATTCATACTTACTCTCGGATAAATTCATAAGCTGCAGGTCTTCCTGTTGTTTCTATTTCATCTTAATCGAAAACTTTAATTAGAAATAAATTTGGTATGGTGCTTACATATACATACCGAGAATAAAACTCGGAATAACTATTTAAGTATGGTCTTCTGTCCGACACCCAAACTTCTACACCACTTATAGGACATACAAATTTTTTTTCAAATGATATGAATTTTAAAGGGACGTAAGCTACGAATAAGAAAAAAAAATTAAAATACGATTCTTTTTGTGTTTTTTTTTTTGTAATACAGTATTAATAAAAGAGGAATTTTGAAATATTTCGTTATAAGAAGTCAGTTAGGTTCAAATTTGTCAAAATAAGCTCAAAATCATTGCTGATATACTATTGACTTGTAAGTCAATAATTGACCCTCAATTGAATTCGTATTCATGTGATCTTCATCTAAACCCGTAGCTGGAGATGGATTACGCATGTACTAGGTGTGCTCAGCTAGGAAAAAGGGAAAGAATGTCCACATTGACAGTGAAACAAGGGTAAATCATTTCATTGACGGATTGGATTGACAAAAGAACATTCTTACATAGGTAAAAACAAGGAATAACATATTTTTTAACCTTTAACATGAAATTCAACGGATCTAGAAATCCAATTGCACGTGCGCGCTATCTATTTAGCCTATAATTATATTTCTGTTTATATCAGGTTAAGAAGGACCGTTGGCAGTCTTCAAATGTCATCTCGATGGTTAATCATATGGCGTCTAGACTAAAATACACACGTAATGCTGATACATATTATCGAGTACATGCATTGTTAATTGTTTATTTTACACTTTTTGTAATTTGGATATACGTTTAAGTATGTTATGAATAAAATATGAGCATTTGAGTCAATCGGTAAACATGAATTTGACAACTAATGCCCCCTTAACACATTTTAGTTATACCGTATTATAGTTTACTGTAAGACTTATATCTTGGTCAGTTTTTACAACCGCATGGTCGATGCCAGTGCTGGTGAGCGTTTGTATCCGAGGGTATCACCAGCCAACCTCTTCTGTGTTTACATGAAATGTTATTTGAACGGTCTTTATTGTAAATGTATTTTACTACATCCAGGACAGTATTTGGAATAACGTTTCTGCATCTTTTGTGTTTAATGTTCTACATTTGCTTTATGTTATATACTCTACCAACTGTTTATATTTAACCGCCACTGATGAGTGATATGCCCGTCCTATACCCGTAACACATAATAAGCATGAGTTCTTAAAGTTTGATGAGTTTTTACTTAGAAAAAGCAAGTCTTTTGGATAACTCTGACTTAGAATTTAGTTATACCATACTATCTACTTAGCAATACGTGAAGACATTAAACGTACCGAATATACCAACTACGCAAACTTTTGAAAGATGAAAATAATGTTCGGAATGATAACCTCGAATTCGATAAAGGTAGTCTGGTGACTTTATGCGATAATGTTAGGCTATCCAATCGAATGGACCACTGAGGCATGATCCTTTAAACAGAGAGATTATTAAAGATATAAGCAAATAATGATGTAAATCTGCAGTATTTTAAAGACTTAGATGTAATCTATTATATATCAACTAGAAACGGATTTGTTATTTCATAGAAGTTTGTGATGTATGCGATTTTCGGAAGTTGAAATAATGTACACAGAATTTTTAACGTTGACAGTTGCGCTGGTAACCCTGTAAACATAGTGTTGATACAATAAAGATAAGGAATATGTGGCAAGTAACAATGATCATAGAGACAATACCACTCTCGAATATCATATAAACAAGAAATATGGATAAAGTCTCAAATTATATTTTAGAAAATATGTTAAAGAATAATTCAGTTCGAAAAGGTATCGACAAATGATTAATCGGTTGCTGCTCTGTGTATAAAACAATCTTTGGGTCGGCTACCCATTTTTTACTGTACTGAGAGAATACACTCTCCAATGCAGGAACGCAATATGTTCTTCTTTCTGAATACTTCAATAACCATATAAACCATAGCTGGTCCCACACAGTTTTGCTTAATAATATAATGATAAAATCAATTTTACTGGGAAGAATAATATCAGCTGGGTAGGAGACTGTTAGTCCAACGAGTAGTTATAGAAACTCTTCGACATTATTTCGCTATCATTTCATAGGTCATGAGAAGGAAAGCAATTGTTAAAAAAAATATATCTGTTCTTATGACAAGCACTCTTACCGCCGTTATCGAGCTTATGATCAAAGTTTGATCAGTTGTTTCCGTTTACAGGTATGATTTATCTCCCTTAACTTACTCTTATAAAGTCATGATTTTAATTTTCTAAACCATTTATGAAAGACGAGAAAATGTTGTACTTTAAATTTTCCTTGTTTGATTGTATGGTTTAATCAGCTCTTCTTTATGGTACTAAATCTTATTACAAATGTATAAATATTGATTGGTTGTTGTTGTTTAATGCCACTTTCAACACTCTTGGCTATATCATGACGTTTTATAGGTGGAGGAAGTTAGAGAAAACCATCGCGCTTTGGCAGGACAAAAAACTGTCAGTCCTAGTCAATTTAGCTCGGAGTCAATGCCACTGCTAAGAATGGGATTCGAACTCACAACTCAGTGTTGACAGTCTAGTGATCAAACATTTTGGAAGAATGATTTGACTTTGAAGAATTCATAAAAAGATGGTATTTTACAAATGATAAGGTTATAATATATATACATACAAATCTATTAGAGAGTGGATAAATCAGTACAAACATTAATACAATTACACAAATGAAATTACAAATTGCCTAACAATGTTATTCTTACACACAATTTAGTATGTTCATATTAAAATGTTGAAAATATTTCCACTGCGATTAAAAAAAAAACCGCAATATTTCGCTAGACAAACTACCTTCATCGAGCATGCATCTATCCAGGTAAAATCGGATGCCAATAAGAAACTTTTGCAGCTCATTGTACATGACTTTTGCTGCCTTGTAAATAATTCAAAGTTTGGATGAAGTTGAAGATTATTTATTTCATTACGAAATTTGTGGTTGAAGTTTGCAACGTCCATTTGCCAATATTACAGAGATATAAATTAAGGACGATGCTGTATAATTAATTCAAATCCATTTTAATAATAAAATTTGTAAATTGTTGTTAAAAGTGTCTGCTAATTATAATTTAGTGGGTAATTGTCTTTTGCTTCCTTTTTTTATTCTGAAAAAAAAAATAAATTGCTTTTTTTATGTGTTGAAATTCTAGCAATTTTGGAGTTGCTATATCAAATCTTTCAGAGTATAAAAAACAATATGATAGTGTGTAAGCAAGTTTTAATATGTTATCAGTAGGTTAATTTTTTTCGATGACTTTCAATAACTGCGTAGAAATCCTCCAAAACCATAATATTTGACATATACCGATTTGGTGACATATTTCAAAATGTCATTGTCACACTCTAGTAATGAACATATTGATATGATTTTAAATAAAAGGTGGATAATGACTAGTGGATCTTAAAATAAGTAATTTCAAATTTTACAAGATTAAAATAAGTTTTATTTTATGGTATAATGAGGATAAGATTCGTTATTTGAAAGAAATGATTGTATGATTGAAGCAACTCAAAAATATTTAATGTAAATGCATACATTGTATATATTCAGTTATTTGCTATATCATAATCATCTTCTGTTGTCGGACCATAGGCATGGTCGTATGTCTGATCGGTGATATCATTCTGTCTGCTATGAGAAGCACTGTCATACACAGTATCTACAGCTCTACTATATATGCCCTGCTGATGATCAGAACCGTCATTTTTTCCTGAAATGTCATACTGATCTTCATAAAATTCATCATTGTCTTTTTCCGGTACGGGTCTATTTTTATCATATTTAGAATCATTGATTGGTTTAGCCATTTCGTAGTCATATGCATTTAAAGGCTGCACATGACACCCCGCTTCGGAAGGTTCAAGAGCTGTAGAATAGATCGCGGAATTAGAATATGGTCTTATTATTTGTCCGTTGTTTCTGGTTTCGAAGTTCGATACTAGGTCGTTGACGGTTTCGCCTTCATTTGTTCCGTTAAGATTATAGTTTCTCAAATTAAAATTTGTGGACATCTCAGAATTGCAGTTAGCAGGCATTGCTATATCTTGATTTCCAATGTAATCATCTTTTTTATTGTGGTGGCTAGCTATATTATGTTTGTCATCTGTGCTTTTTCTGTAATAAAAATAGAAGTGTATGTATTATGACTGTTTTGATTTAAACGCAACTGATAAATCCTATGTACACGAAACGCGCGTTTTGGTACTTAATTATTATCTTGATATCTTAAATGACATTTTCCTCTCTTAACTAGCTCACTCTGTATCATATACATGTAGTCCTTCAAAACTTAGAATATCAATCAGGTAAAAAATTTCCCTCCCTTCATCTCAGTCTGAATAAATATGATTCATAATTGTTTGATTTGTTTCTTGTCCTGAAAATGATCGAATGATTTGCAATTTGATGTTAAGCAAATAAAAATCAATCAATCATAGGATACTTGCAGAAAGTAAGTATTTCGATAAATTGTCGATTAGTATATCAGTACAACATGTACAAATAATAGTTGTTCATTAGGATTTGGTCAAACTTGGTAGATTTAAAATGAAACCAACATCAAGTGTCGAGATAGTCAATGCTAGAATATACGTATCACTATTTTTCTCTTCTATAAATCCGCACAGATGGGTAATGCTTACAACTTTTGAGTATATGACAGAAATACCTTCTAACAAACCACATTAAAACTACGACGACTCCAACAATTATAATTATTCCAACTGTGACACCGACAGCAACACCTACATAACATGAAATAAATATACATTATTCAACCAAATACAAGCGTCTTCTTATCTTGGTATATTTTATAATTCAGGTTGCCTAAAATAAGGTAGACTTATAGCATTCGTTTGTAAAATAGATGACAAGTCTAATCATTTGTTAGACGCTTACGCTTGTCATGGCGTTTTTTTTTTGTGTGTTTTTTTTTTTGTGTTTATTTTCGACTGATGAGTTTTATTGTCCCTTTGGTATCTTTAGCCTCTCTTTACCATGCAAATACATTAAAATGAACGATACAAAAACATGGTTTCTTTTTTATTTTAAAGCTGCACATAATATGTTACTTTACAATAATTATTGATAATTTGATATCGTACTTGTCTATACATACCTTCTACATTATTTTCACCCTGCAATGGGAGTACAGTAGGAATTGCTGGAAGATAGATGATAGTTAAAAAGTAATCAGATATTAGAATTTATTTCTTAATTTTCAACTTCAATATTTGTATTTGCAGATTGTTATTTTCAGTTATGAATAATGAATAAATACTTAATTACTAGTGTGTTACAAAGCAAAGACTCATCAAAGACTCAAGGGCGACTCTTTTGTATTCCAGAAATGTATGTGTTTTTTACAATTTCAGATTTCTTCTATTACAATATAAATGTTGAGTTTCAATTGCTTAAGAATGAAATGAACGAATATTAGAATTTCATTAGTAAAACCATGGTAACTTAATGCACTTCGAAAAATTAACATCAATATAGAACTATGAATTATAGTTTGTTCAGGTTTATAAGATTCATAAGAATAATCAGACAGATAAAGTTAAAACGAGTTAAACATTTTATTCAAAATATTAGATGAACATAATCACCCTTGGCAACAGTAGTTTACCGATGTTCAAATTGACACATCTAGGTAGGAAATGCAAACTGAGGGAATATCATAAACACCAAAAGTGGCAAAATCGGACTTCATAACTCATTTTGTTTTATGTAAGGAGCACACCCTGCTTATGAAGTCCACATAGTGTTATCACGCACACGATATGAATAGATATAAGAAGATGTGGTATGAGTGCCAATGAGACAACTCTCCATCCAAGTCAAAATTTATAAAAATAAACCTTTATAGGTCAAAGTACGGTCTTCTACACGGAGCCTTGGCTCACTACGAACAGCAAGCTATAAAGGGCTCCAAAATTGCTAGCGTAAAACAATTCAAACGGGAAAACCAACGGTCTAGTCTTTATAAAAAACGAGAAATGAGAAACACTTATGAACCACATCAACAAACGACAACTACTGAACATCAGATTCCTTTCTGACTTTCTTGTGTCGGTTGTATCCTTTATCTCAAACTTACTGGGATATACGAAATACAAGCACTCAATGGGAGATTTGAAGTACAAGAACTCACTGGGATATATGAAATACAAGTTCTCACTGAAATTTGGGTAACTGAGTGACAAGACATCATTTATATATCTGAAAGTGAAATTAAAGAATTTTGCGAGATGATTTTTCTTTTTGTCTTCGAGAATGTTTTGTATTAATTCTTCTTCATAAGAGTACATAAATTAGTCAGCTAGTAGGGTTTCACTATCAACATCCGTTGTAATACCGACTTTCGATCTTTCTATTAGGCAGTGGAAATAGTAGTGTAAATTGTACGAAAATCTGAGATATTACTGCAAAATTGTGATTGATGATTTTGTGGTAGATCTTTAAATTTTAAGAATCATCCACATTTGATTGAAACCGCTGGTTAAATATATACATCATCACAATATTTTTAAAGACCTTCTTTTACTGTAAAAAGAATTGTGGTAAGAACGTTTGAAAGATATTGAGTGTGGAAGTAAATTTATGATGAATGAAATTAAGTTATATGCTAAGTATTAACATGATTTAGACTGACCTTTAACACAGCTGAATGAGATATTAAACAACTTTGGTATTCTGATACAATCATCCAATGTAAAGACTGATTCATTCCAAATAAGTGGTTTACATTTTTGTTTCCCATTGCAGGATGTATTTACTTTCTGGTGAATCATTTCTGTACAACTGTTATTCATAATTTGTTTTTCGCAAAACGACAAAGACGGTATCAATTCAACTGACTGAATTTCTATTTTTCTTGATGGACTTCCACATGCTACTGACTCCATATTGAAGGGACAAACTATTTGTGGTTTTTTTTTATTGTGGTTTTGATTACTTGTACCTATACAAAAATAATAAATGTAACTTTTTAGATCATCAATTTCACATATCAAATCTATTTTTGTGGCATCAAGAACTTGCCTCAGATTACTGTAAATTATGCAAATATTGCAAGGTTTTTATGGATACGAATAATGCGAATGGATGAGTCTCGTAATAATACGAACTCACATTCTGATATCTGATACATATATTTGTATGAAGCTTACCTGAAATTGCAATAATTATTCTACCAATTTTGTTCAATCTTCGAAAATCGCATTAGTAAATGCACCTAATGATTTCTCTATTTACGGTATATGAAGGGAACAAAAACACTCTAGAAATTTTGTGCGTCCAAACTTTTTTTCCAAAGGTTTTGTTAAATACAATGTTTTTATTGTTTCACTTTCTAAAGAGACAAAGTAGAAAGATTATTAATAAATAATTTGCATCATTTGTAGATGTATATCTGTAAAGCTAATGTTGGAATTTCTTAGGTAAAATTATCACTGGATTTATCTTTTTATTTTCAAGGAGCTCTTTTGGGGATTAACTTCGCCATGGACATGTAGTTCACATGTGCATGATATGCCAAGAACGATCACGGTCTTTATTTTATTGTGTAAATTAAAAATATCTTAAACACTATACATTGTACCAAATCTTGAAATTAAATTTCTGTTCAAGCACATGTTATTATTCTATTGAAATATTTACTTACGAACACAATGATATTGTATAAATATTTTCCGCGTTTTGTCCGCCACTGAATTTGAAACATTGACTATTTTGTCTGTCAATACACAGGAGTTGTGGCCAATACAAGATGGATAAGACGCTGAGTCCAGGGGTATCGTGGTTTCTTTATAAACGTCATTTGTAAGACTGCAATCATTCTGTTCGTGGTGAAATGTAATGTTAATATCGTCTATTGAGTTCCCAACTGTACAATTGAGTTCTGTTTGAAACTTTTCACACTCAAATTTTTCAAAGGATAACCCTTCAAATAAAAAAATAACATATTTGAATTTCTTGCCTCTTATTCACTGCACAAAGTAGGATGATATGACTGGTATCTCTTATGTTTCATCTTGAAAATGTTTTTAAAACAGTTACTATGTAGGTTCATATATTTGTAAAACAAAATGTTTCACCCTTCCATTTCGTTTTAATTATACTATTAAATAAATTTGAGAAAATAGTCGAACATATTGAAATACGTTGATTATGAACAACTCTAATTGACAGGTTTAGCCAACATTGATATATGTACATCTGTTTGATTGTTTATTTGGGTAAGAATTATTCTCATACCTGAATATTATCTGAAATATAAAGGCTAGGCATTTTGTCAGTTTTTTTTTCAAGTGCATATTTATAGGATTTTTTTATCACATCTGCACGTTGTACTTTTAAAAAAAGAATAACAGTTGTACTAAAGTTCATGATATTCTATAAAAAATAATGTTGATTTTTATTGACTTTATATTTTGGTAAATCTATTCAAAAGATCCTCATGTGAACAAACGAAGATTGGCTGATAGAATCTTGCCTAGTTGTAGGCATATCTGAATGAAAGATGTGGATAAAACAGGGTTTTGTACCGCTCTTAATCTGCAGTTCATATCAGTTTAAATTAACTATAAATCTTTTATTTTTTTTACCTGCACTCGAATGTGTTGGTGTTTTAATACATCCCGATCACCCATACTCATCCCTCAGCACGAATTTAAGTTGTCAAAATCATTCATGTTAACTTAACACAATATAATAGTTATTTTTTCAATAAAAGAGTATTATACGTTAATGTTCATAACGTATAAAAATAGAATTTATCATTAAACTAAAGATTGAATAGCATTAACCCATCCAAAAAGCAAGGTCTTTTTAGGTGCTATTTGATAGTAAGCATTTCCAGCTTTATTTGTGTCAGTCGTCTCGTTACTATAAATAGCAACACGTTGGTTGGTCGCGTTTTTTTAGTTATCCATCAACGAGGCGGAATTATGGAATTGTGGTTTTGACTAATCAGAAATGCTAGTGTCCTAAAACCCTAAAACGAACAGACCGATTCCTGATAGCGTCCGTTAAACTTTCGAAAAGAAATGTACTTTTAACAAGTATGTACTTTTTGATTCAGTAGCTTCCTTGTAAGCATTTAAAGCGGTATGTAATATCATATGAAAAATAGCTTTTTGTTCTCATCTGAAAACCATATTTGCGCTTTAGTTAAAACAAACCAACTGTGAGTGTGTTAAAGATGTTAAATAACACATTTCCAAATAAAAATACCGAGTTTCTTTTCTGCCTGCGCTCTAGAAAATAGCCGAATAGAATCATATTGCTAACAAACAAAGTTTTATCAGATGAAATTTAAATGCCTATACCATGCATAAAGTATGGGGAATTACAATAGAAATTATTTGTTGACAACAACGAATATTTGAAAGGTAAATCTCATTAAATTCTCATTCGCATATACTATTTAGATTTGTGTACTGGTAAGGGAAATAAAATATCAGAAAAAATGAGGCCATCGAGAACTTTCATGATAAGATATGCTGGAAATTGTACACCTGTTTCTAACATTAACTAGCATTTCATCAAACTTTTTTAATTACGTAGCATGCTGTCATCTGTTTCCCAAATAAAAGTAAGAGGAGAATCATTATAAAAAGAAAACGTTGTCAAACTATTTTAGAGGAAAGACGAGGTTCAACAGCTTTTTGACAACTGGAAATGATGTTCTGTTCATTTTTGATTCCTAAAAGAAGGATTTCTGCCTTATACCGGAGAATTGATAATTACCCTACTGAAATTGCGCAACATTATTGACCAAAGTAATAAAAAGTGATTGTTCGAAACTTCTTAGACAGGTTGTGACTATATGATAAACTACTGCTTAACATATATATACTTATTTTACATGCATATTTAGGCCCTTAATGTAAATGCATTATGAAGATATGTACAAGAGATATAAATCGAGTTTGATTCTGAACGTGATAGCTTATGAAGTCATAGTTCACATAAAAAACATATCGCGACTCCTAATTCGGACTACAGTAAATTGTATTCAATCTTTGGCGGTCCCCAAAACACCACATGACTAGCAGAAAACGGGTAAATACTATTTTCAAAACATTTCGTTTTGATCCGACCAAGGATAGATCCCATGCTCTGCAAAAGCGTTTATGCTACCTCGAGACTACTTTTGCAGTTGTTTAATTATGTTGTTAGATTACTATCTCATTGGTTCATCTTATTTTATTTGCACTGACATAGTTGTTCGGGAAGTTTGAAGAACTTGAGTGCAATTTCTATTTATTTGGTCAAGGTTATTAACTGTAAATCGAAATCCACTATTTACGAGGACAAGTATTTTTTCAATTTACTCATTGCTAGATTTTTTATTACTAATGAAATTGAATTCATTTCTTATATTCACAGTGGAAAAGCCACGCATCAGTTATGAGCCTCCTTCCATTTTACATAATAGACATGATTCTAAGGGCGACAATCGTGATTTTTACATAGACGGCGGCAGTATCTTGTTTACATCGTGTACGTGTGATGTTTCAAGAAATTTATTATTGAAGGCAATTAAACTTGCATCATTTCTTCAACAATTAGTTATATAGGTAAGTTCAACAGGTGAACATGCTGTTTTATGTTCTTAGAAGATTTTATTCTACATGAAACCAGCTTTTGAAAATAGCAAGCGACCTTGTTGATTTGGAAGATAAAAATATGGCGGGTGTTTTCCCCTTCTGAGAATAACTGACACATTTGCATCCTAATTGATATTTAAATATAAAATGACCAAAAATAGTATCTATAATGATGGGACTCCCTCAATATTTGCATAATTACCAATCACTTCGTGTCAAATTGTACCTGGGGCAGCGAAAAGGAAGCGCATCAATCAACGCTATTTTTCAATAGATCCACATAAATAGTAGGTTTCTGAGCCCACAAAATCCTATCATCATTACCTTATTATGATTATTTCAATTGTAGAAAGATCTGAACAATATCCCTTACATATTTGTAATTGATTAGATCGGCATATGGCTATATATTGACCTCTTTTCGAGGCTGAAATCCAGTATTCCATAGACCACATGTAAATAAACGCCCCTATCCCAGCGTGAGAATACAATTTTAAAAAACTTTAACTTTGGCCTGTCAATATTTTCATCTATATTTTAATATAATTATTACGGTTGTGTAAAACAATTGTTTGTTTGTCTGGAATAGTAAAAAAGTTAAACTTGTAAGCATGGTTTTATATTAATATTTATTGTTATATAAACATAATTAGTTTGTGACAAAAAACAAAAACAAACATAATATAGCAAAGAAATAACAATTATAGTTTAATTTTATCCCAATTCAGTGAAACTCCAAAACCACTACCCATCGTTTATGAGGGTTTTGATGGGGGTTTACAGAAAAAAGAATAATGGGCAAAAAATATAAAGAATAGAGAAAAATGGACCCAAAATTAAAGACTACAGAATAATGAGATGCTAAAATATAAAGAATAGAGAATGACGGGAAAAAGTATAAAGAATAGAGAAAAATGGCCTCAAAAATTACGAAATATAGGAATGGAAGACCCCCATTCAGACCTTCGTTTATGTAAACAATAGCACTCTAGTATTTTTGTTAAATAGTGCATGTGGTCATAAAAAATATATTTAACATATTTCAGGTATATGAATTATTCATCAGTGGAAAAGCCACGCATCAGTTCTGCACCTCATTCCATACAAATTATATATTATTGATTGTTGATGTTTAACGCCACTTTCAGTATTGACAATGTTGTGGTGGCAAGTTTTTATTGGTGGTGGAAGCGAGAATGCTCAGAGATAACCAAAGACCTTTGGTAGGAGCAATCCTAGTCAATTAAGATTGGAGTTGAGCGAACCCGCACAAGGACAGTTTGAACTCACAACCTTAGTGTAGACTAACTATTTGGCCACTGACGCCACTGACGCCACTGACGCCCCCACAAATTATATATGGAGTAAATCTAAATAACAGCAAATTAATTTAACGTGGCAGCATTATTGTTTGTTTGAATTATTGTTTTTATTAATCATTATTGTAACGATGATTACTATAATATAATGTTGCATATAAAGTTTAACTTTGTTATTCAAATATATAAGTACGTCTAAACAAGTGACAACTCTACGACAGATCCATCCATTGGATCACCAGTGAAGGTGATACAGACTAAAAACACACATTATATTCATAATTTATATATATATATATATATATATATATATATATGATTTAATATCTATAAAAAAGATTGATATGTTAAAAAGATCAATTAAAGACATTGAAGTAAATTAAAAAAATACAAAAAAGAATTTCTTTGAACATATTTTGCTGTATATGATTATGACCTTTTCTCTTTAGACATATCATGTAAAGTCGTTAAAATAAATTATCTATTTACATCAAAATCTAAGGCTTTTCGTTTATTTTTTTGAAGCTTATATACTTTTAATTATTAAAGATTAGAATAAGATAATTTCAATTTCAAAAAATGATTACAAACATCTAAAAACAATCTAAGTACGTACGTTATGGTTTTTTTCTCATTGTTGAAGGTAGTACGGTTACCTAAAATTGCTGATATCCACTTCGTTTGAATTTTGTTGGATAATTATCTCATAGGCAATTATACCATATCTATTTATTTTTATATTAGTGAAATTAGAAACATTCAAATTGAAACGTGAACCTTCTCATTCTTGGACTGGATAAGAGTCGGTAGACAATTACAATATGACTATAATTTCATAGCTCAAACTTGCTTAATTAAAAGTTGGAAATCATTTCTATTTATTTATATTATATATTTACAGATAACTTATAGGAATGAGGAATGAATTAGAATAGGAAACATTTCCATTTTGGGGATTTATGGAACTGAGGACTATTTGAATTTTGATGATGTTTTACATGAACTTTTTA